TTTTTGTCTTGGAAATCCAGTGCCATAAGATATAGCTGACTGTCCTAGCCTAGCTTTCCAATTTGAGTTGAGGGACACATCTTGAACTGCAAAGTTCAACTATCTTTTCAAATTCAGAAATGCATTAAGTAATTTAGTATGAAACTCATTTTCATTATTAGTTGTTGGAAATTATTGATATGGGTGTAAACGACTCATTTCTCCAGTCCCTGATAACTGTCAAGAAAGTAATCATTTTGTAATTTTTGTACCAAGAATATTGTTATACAGTTGATCTGACTACTCTATTCTGTTTCTAGCCTGCTCAAAATACAGAGAATCAAAGACAGATGATGGTTTCAGAGCTCCAAATGCAAGTCCCCGGGAACAATAACAGACCACTAAATGGCTCAAGTTCTGCCTTTCCAGCACCCCCATCTATTCCCCCATATCCAGGTCATCTCCAGTCGCAGCATCAAATGTCCCCACAGCAGTCTCACGCTCATAGCAGCCCTCATCATCCACATCTTCAATCACCAAATCATGCCATAGGTCCACAGCAGCAGCAGGCCTTTGCAATGAGGTTGGCTAATGATAGGAAGCTGCATCATCAACAGAGGTACTTGCAGCATCAACAGCTGCAACAGAAACAGCAGTTTTGTACATCAAATTCTCTAACACCACATGTCTCACCACAACTTCCCATGACTTCTCTTAATAGCCCGCAGGTTCATTTGCAAACTTCATCGCAGCAGGTCTCTATGCCCCCTCTAACCTCATCCTCCTCGATGACACCCACATCAACGCAGCATCAAATAAAGCATCACATTCCACCTCATGGGTTGAGCCGAAACCCTGGAGCCAGTGGGTTAAACAATCAGGCAGTTAAGCAAAGGCAACAATCTGCCAGACATCATCCTCAGCAGCGACAGCAGGTTCAGTCTCAACAGCAGGCTAAACTTATGAAGGGAGTAGGAAGAGGAAGCATGCTGGTGCATCAAAATCTCACTGTTGATACTTCAGTTTTAAATGGCCTTTCCGTGTCTTCTGGTGATCAAGCCTCAGAAAAAGGGGAGCAGATCATGCAGTTGATGCAAGGTCAGGGCTCATATTATGGATCTGGAGTAAACACAGTTCAACAGTCAAAACCATTGGTTCCTCAGTCATCAAACCATCCTCAGCTACAGAAAAATCTTGTTTGTGCTTCTGGACCACCTTTATCAAAACCAGTTTCACAGATGCCTGCTCATTCCGAGAAAAGCTCTCAAGGGCAGGTTCCACCTGTTTCCTCTTGTCATACATTGTCATCTTCACATCAGGATGCTCCTGCATCAATAATAGCTTCAAACCACCCGCCTTCACAGCCACCTCAGAAGCAGGTGAATCAAACAAAAACAAGTTTCGAGAGATCCCTCCAGCAGAATTCTCAAGGTATCTCTGAACCAAGAATTAAGACTCAGACTGATCTTGCTCAAGCTGACCAGCAACCACATAAGCAAGCTTCTCAGGTAGGTACGGATATAGCAATGCCTCAAACATCTGCCACTTCAACTGATACAGCAGCAATTACTTCTGTTTCTTCTCAGTGGAAACCATCTGAACCTGTATATGATTCTGATGTGTTGAAGTCAAAATCACAGTTGGGTTTGATTGGTAGTTCACCTCTTGCAAACTTTTCTGCGAGTGAGTCACTGCCTAACAGCCTGGGATTGGGGCCTAGGCAGTCCTCTCGTGGCTTGTCTTCTCATGGACATAATGCTGGGCTACAGTGGCCGCAGCAAGTTCCATTGCAGCAATCTCCGAATCGATTTCCCTCATCCCAGCAGCAAGAAAAGCAGCAAGAGCCCTCGTTACCTCAACATCATCAACCTCTGCAACAGAAAGCTCAGCATCAGTCTCAGCACAAGCAAGCAGAGAAAGGTGGTCTGTATTTGAAGCCTGAAAATGCTAACATTGAATGAAGCAATCTGGTGATAGGGTAGTCCCGAGTCATTTGTCCGACCAGGGTTCGGTCAGCATGCACTCTGTAAAGGCAGTGTACAGGTAATTATTTCTATTTATCTCAACTATTGCAGCAACAGTCTGATTGAATACCCCTATTATCCTAGGATGAAGAGAAGGATAAAAGAGATTGCTTGTTTCATTTTCATGCAAGAATAGGCTTGCATGATTGAAATCTGAAATTATGTGGTTGCAAGAATATACGAGTTCAATTTTCTTCTGTGTTTTGTTTACCAAAACTTTTCAGGTATTTTGTCATGATTCAGTCATTTTTCTTGGTTACACTTGCATGTATAGGGCTTTACATTCACCTGTTTAATCATCACCGGCTTGGAATTTTGTTATTTCAGACGTTCTTATTGTAGAGTCAAGAAAAAGATGGATTTCATTATTTATTTGTATTATTTTTGCAGATGAAGCTGGTTCATTATTCATGATTGAGGGCTTCGCAAGAGAGGAAGTGGTGGAACACGTTTTACTTCACAAATTAAAGTTTTCATATGGGGATAAATTGTCACTCTACTCAAGATACCCATCCCTAGTGCAGTTCCGGGCGATGTCCCTTACCCTTCCCTTCTCATTTTCGTCGAGGTAAAAGTGAAGATGGGAAGGATGATGTTTCTCCCCTTGTGATTTATGTATATTACCACTGGCCTAGTTTTGGGAAGATAGAGACAGATGTAGAGGTACGTGTACAGGGTCTTGTCTTTCCTTTCTTATAATTCTCTATTTTTCTGTTGTCTTGAGGTTCTTCTTCAAGTCACCCGTCCTTTTATTAGAGGGTCTCATTCCTTTCGGAGTTGATAGATTAGTGCATGTATTGACATTAATAACGATTAAGAGGGTAGAAATCGTTCCTGAGGGCAAATGCTCCTTGGAAAATTTTGTGAATATTAGGTTTCTGGCGTCTGTCAATGCCATTTAAACTAACCACCTATCAGTGCAATGTGCACCTGTAGAAGTAATGTATTATGTAATGGGGTACCCAATTTTATAATGCAACAAGCTTCCATAACTGATCGATTTATTTTTAGCCTGTGTAGGAGAAGCTAGTTTTTTCTAACCTGTAGTTTCCTTTAGATGTCATTTTGCTTGTACTTGTGTCTTATCTAATTCATCATTTTTAGTTTGTAATTTTGATGCATCTGCACATGCCTTCAATGTCGAGGTTGTTGATGGTGGTAGTGAGCATCTTCTTCTTTGAGATTATTGTTATAAAATTAACATTCTTGGTAGGAGACTTTTAGGAGATGTTTGGCTCACGGTTTCAATGAGTGTTTACGAAGCTTGGATCTGTGTAATGTGTTTTGATTGTGCAAAGAAATGAACAATAGAAATCTGATTGTTCAACTTTTGTATGGTTTATATAGGTTTCTGATTTTTTTTAAAGTGGTATGTAGTATTAAAGGTGAGTTCCATTGGTTAGTGTTCATGTAATTATTGTAACCTATGATAGATAAACTCACATGTCCATTACAAGCTTAGCTTGTTAATCCTGAGCTACACAAACCTTACGTGGAAGTCAAACACCCATTAGTGAGTAAGAAGACAGTCGTAATGTATACTCGAAACCATCTTCCTTCACTAATGAAAGGGATTCGAAGCTGTGGCGTGTGGGATTGACCGAGTTTCAGCCCATCCACTAGGCCAACAAGCAATGAAATGTTTCGGTAACGTAATGACTTTGGTTCTCTTTGACATTTACTCTGTTCTTTATAGACAGAAAAGGGTTTGGCCATTGGATTGAACTAAGGGTTTAAATCATCTTCTTGACTCAGACTCGTATGGCTGGTATTCGTTAGGATTGGTTGTGCATCCATCGGTTCGCCTGTGCTGGTAAGAATGGTAAGCTAATTTATGTTTAATTTAGCTGCGAGGATGCAGTTTTTGAAGTGTTCCATTTTCTACTGACTATTTAATCCTTGTTCAGAGGTGTGAACTGAATTGTAGTGTAATTCCTTCCACTCCCAAGGAATCTAAGGCTCTGAAATGTGTAGCAGAATTCTTTTCATTAGACTCATAAGATGAATTTAGACAAATGGTTCTAATCTTCATGAAGTGATGTTGAAGAATCTTCCTCATTGTAAATTTAATGCTCAAGTTAATCTGAAATGGCCACATTCCCCAACCAAATTTCAATGTAATATAGGGAAACCAATACAGAATCATCTAAAAAAACGAAGCTCATATACATGTTTATGGGAATGTTGAAATGTCCATTATGGCATTAAAATATGTAAGGAAAACTTCAGTTAATGTACATGATTTAGTAATATTTAGAAAAAAAAGTACGAATTGCTTGTTTTTATTGAAAACAATCTCTCATAAAATTAGAAAAATAGCACCAAAGAAATATGTATTTATGTGTATAGTATTAGGTTTTAAATTTTGCACAAAAAGTTTCCAACTTACAATAACACGAAGAATAATTAAAATTCGCAATCGTGATACATTTTTGAAAAAAAATAAAAGCCAATATTTTTTTTTGATAAATACATATTTATTTTATGTAATTTAATATAATTTTCTTATTTCCCAGTGAATTTATTGATTTATATGATCTTTTCAGATAACTATCTACATTTTCACCGAAGAGTTTGAGACTCATTTATAGCACGAACAAATCTCGTTTCATACATTTTTAATTTTAAAACCAAATAAATATTAACACATAAGTTAAGTAAAGTTCTTGTTTAAAAATTATTGATTAGTAATATAAATTATTAATATTAATATTATGTTTGTTGATACTTTCTTGAGATATTTTTCATATTTTTGAATACAAGGGGTGGGATAATTTTTTTTGGTTAGATTTAGGAAGTTGCAATGAGCGTAGTTTTGATAGCTGAATTTAGATAAAATCTCCAGAATTTTGGAGGTTTAGGATTCTAGTTGAATAAAAAAAACGAGCAAGAATGAGCGTGGGAGAGAAGAAGAAGGAAGAGCAACAGCGTAGAAAAATTTAAGAATAGACGACGGAATGGAATTTGATGGGAGAGATAATAAGGTAAAAAGAAAACAAAGAAAAAGCGGAGAAAAGCATGAGAATTGGAGAGCAGCAGTTATTAACAGAGCTAAGAAAAGTTGGAAATTGGAGACTTGAACAACAGAAGAGAATACAGATCCATAGAATTAATTGACAAAGTTCAAGAATGTTGGCCAATCTTGAGCCTCTTTGGAGATGGAGATCCAAATGCCTTTGAAATTGAACTCAGAATCTTGTGCTCCGAATCCAGAATCATCTCAATCCTCTTCTTCTCCATCGCCATTCTCCGCATCTCCGCTTCCTTCATCATCTCCATTCTCGCACTCTCAATCCCCACCAATCTCTCCGCCACAAGCCCTATCTCCGCCGCCACTTTCCAGCACATCTCTTGCCCCTCTTCTTCTTCTTCTTCTTCTTCATTCTCCCCACTGCAATTTCTGTTTCGGAGTATCTGACTCACGCTCCTCGATTTGCTGCGATTCTCATCGGAATTGGAATCGATCGATTTGTGGTGTTGTTCGTAGGGGCGGGCGGAGATTGGGAGGGGGCCGCGCAATAGGTTGTTGATGAGGTCGAAGTAGGGCCAAGGGGAGGCGGTGGCGTGAGAGAGGCGGCGTTTCTCGGCGCGGAAACGCTGGCGGAGCTTCTCCATCTTGTGGCGGCACTGGACGGCGGTCTTGGAGGGGTGGAGGTGGCCGGTGTAGCCGCAGCGGGCGGCGACGTTGGCGGCGATTTCCTCCCACTGGCTGGATCTGAGCTGGCCCCTCTGCAGAGCGTACCATTTGTCTTGGTAGGCGTGGATCAGATGGAGGGTCTCCTGGTGCGTCCATGGAAACGCCTGGCCTTTCGGTGCAGCCATCGGGATCTGGCGATTCGTCGGTCAACGGCGGCGCAGCGGCACCCAATTCCAATTCCTTCACGAGATGCTCAATTTACCACCAAAATTGAGCACACAAAAAAACCCGAAATGTTTTTAGGATCCCCTTCTGGTTACTGTGCTCTGCTCAGCTGATTTGTCTACCGCACGTACGAAATATAGTCAAGTTTGTATATTTTCTTTGACGTGGATCTCGTATTTAATAGATTGCTAATATACACACCTATTGTTTAGGGAGGCGGAGGAGAGGAGGCCGAACATGATTAGTGTGGACCTATTCGAGAATAGAATATTGTTCTGTTAGAGGCCTAAAAGGTGCAATGAATCCTATTAGGAAATATACTCCTTATGTGAGGCATAGAAGTTTGTATTCGATGATAACACTAACCTCTTAGTGACCGACCAAATAGATACTTACGGCAGCTTCAGATGAAAGAAAAATAGGGGTATGAAGAAAATGAATTTCCGAAATAGAAAACTACTTCTTTTCTGGGAAGCAATTAGTGGAAATGAAGGAGGAAAAAGAGAGAAATATGCAAAATATAAAAGGTACACAAGAATGAGTTGTAGGTGGTCTATACACTCTTTTTGCAGCTCAAACTTCAAGAACCAAAAATGTATTTTGCGTTTTTTTTATCTAGAATCGAAGTTGCTTCAAAACTTTCAACTTACACAAAATTTCTAATCCATATCAGAATTCATGGTTTCTTATCAACTGAATGCCTAGCCGTATTCCAAAATTTGAATCTCCTATAAATGTCTTACTCAAAATTCATCCCAAACTGCAATGTCTCCGCATATTTTGATGTTTTTCCTTTTTTCATAATCATTATCCTTATGATTTATACTTGATCCAAAATAAATTTTTCTTAGTTATTTTCGTCCCACCAAAAGAGTACAAATGTTATTCTAAATTAAGGGGAGAATATTCGTCATTAATGTACACACCTATGAATATTCATTTCTTTGAAAATCAATCTTTTCCCACATAGTCCCCCAAATCGTAAACGAGTTATGTCTTTTTTGCCACTCGTTTACGATTGGTGATTTCCAATTATTTGTTTGGGCCACTTGTTGTTTAGTGAGCAGTAATAGGCACATAAATTTAAGGGAGAAGTAGTCACTCCACTAATTCTAAAAGATAGAGAGCAAAACCTACGAATGGGATCCAAAGACATGCAAGTTTTAAGCACAACCTCTAAAACATATATGTTCGACATATTTAGGTAATAAGAATTGAGTTTGTGCTTGTATGTAAAAATGGCTTGGAAGAATAGACATTGGCACCCATTTTGAATTTAAAAATATATAACCCCAAAAAGTTTAAAGAAAAAAAAAGGAAAAGGAAAAAAGATGGGATTCAGATTGGGATCGAAGTTGGTGGTATTACTGTTGGTGTTACTGTTGCAATTGGCATTTCAGGGTAAAGCTTAAAAGGGTGGCGGTGGTGGTGCTGGCGGCAGCAGTGGAGGCAGTGGTGTTTTAGATCTCACAAAGTTGGGTGCTAAGCCTAAGGGTGATATTACTCAGGCTTTCACAACTGCATGGACGCAAGCATGTGCATCCACCGCTGCAACTAAAATATTGATTCCAAAAGGAGAGTATAATTTAGGTGAAGTCAACATCAAAGACCCTTGCAAGAGTCCAATTGAGATTGAACTCCAAGGAACGTTGAAAGCTCCCATTGTAACAAAAACAGATGGATGGCTTACTATCGGAAAGGTTACTCACTTAACATTGTCGGGCACTGGAGTTTATGATGCCCAAGGAAAAGAAAGTTGGAAATTGAATGATTGCCACGTAAACAAGAAGTGTACCATGCTTCCCATTGTAAGCTTACCTTCTTCAATAATTACAATAAAATTCTATTTCCTTCACATCATCTTATTATTAGCAATTTTAACCTTTTTTTTTTAATTGTTCACCGGAGTTTTAGGTTCAACTTTGTTAACAACTCAATAGTGAAGGGTATAACTTCATTGAACAGCAAGAATTTTCATGTCAATGTCATGGGCTGCAATAACGTTACCTTCGACCATTTCACAATTATTGCACCAGAGGACAGTCCAAACACCGATGGAATTCACATAGGTCGTTCTAGTGGGATTAACATCATCAGCTCCAACATTGGAACTAGAGATGATTGTGTGTCTATAGGAGATACAAGCAAACAAATAACGATCACAGATGTCACTTGTGGACCAGGACATGGCATTAGCATAGGAAGTTTGGGAAAGTTTGAAGGTGAAGAGATCGTGGAAGGAGTTATAGTAAAAAAGTGCAAATTAATTAATACTTCCAACGGTGTTACGATCAAAACATGGCCTGGTACTCCTGGCACTGGTAGGGTCACTGACATGCATTTTGAAGATATTGAAATGGTTAACGTTAGCAATCCTGTCTTTATAGACCAAGAATATTGTTCACACAACCACTGCGAGAGAAGGTACGTGTTTCATTCTCACGTTTTTCAATTTATTATTAATTAATTTTAAAGCTTATTTATATTGTAATGTTCTTTTTTGTATTTTTCAGAGTCCATCACAGATTAAGATCTCAAAAGTTACCATTAAAAATATTAAAGGCACTTCTGCTACTCCGGTAGCAGTCAAACTTGTTTGCAGCAAAAGTCATCCATGTGAAGGTGTAGAGGTAGCTGATATTGACCTTACTTACAATGGAAAGGAAGGAAAAATTACGTCTGAATGTTTAAATGTGAAACCTACCGTTTCTGGAAAGCAAAATCCTCGTGCATGTGCTGCACCGGTCGCTGCTCACTCTCCATCAACTCCGTAATCAATTTTATTGTGAAACTTTTATATATAGAAAGCAATTTGTATTTTTTTTTTACCTAGCATTATCAATTTTTGCTTCGAAAATTTCGTAGGTATATATTTCGTTTCATGCCGTGAATTATGTGCATGTTTCAATAATGTATTTCTATATCATGAGAGTGAAACCACTTACTCTGATACGGATTAGAAATTTTTTTGTGAGTTCAAAGTTTAGATGCCATTCCAATTCTAAATGAAAGATGACAAAATACCAGTTGACATTTTTACTAATTTTATATTATTTTTAGATTATTCTTTCCTCGCTTTTTCCTTTCTTCATCCGCGACCTTTATTAACTTTTGATAAGTGCATCTGCAATTCATACCCTTTCTAATTGAGTCACAAAAGCTTGATAAGATATTATATTTTTCAACGGATGACTAGTACAACTTTTAACTCCTTTCCTTTAATGAAATTGGTAGTGTTAAATCCTCAATCAAAGGAACCAAAGAAGTAATATTCTCACTGTTGGGATTCAAAGATTATGAATCTGGTCCAAGTGGTTGACATTTTAAGTATTTGCAAGGTTGTCAGCTTTCTTGTTGTGTAAAGAAGTGTTCATCCTTGTGGGACTTCAGGTTCAGAATTAATCAATAGGCTTAGAAACAATAGACTAATCGGGCTCGAAAACATATAGCTCATTTAAGGGATGAGCTAAGATCTTAATCCTGATGGAAGTAAGGGTTGTGACACAAATAGAATCAACTTTTAATGGCTCAAATTCCCTCATATTCTCCCATAATGTGGAAAAAGACGGATTCTCAAAGAAGCGAATATCCATAGATGTGTACATTTCTCTAGTGATAGAAGAATAACATTTGTACCATTTCGATGTGACGAAAATAACTAAGAGAAATGTACTTAATTGATTTTGGATCAAGTATAAATCATAAGGAGAATGATTATGAACAAAGGAAGAACATCAAAATATGTGGACATTCAAATTTGAGAACATGGCTAGGCACTCAGTTGATAAGAAATGTTGTTGTGAGAATAGCTTCTCTCAGAAAAATAAATGAGAACGTGCTACCTCAAAATTGTTAAAGATGAATAAACTACCACTTAATCCCAAAAGCTTAAAATGATGGGTGTTGGGTAAATTTAATTCATGTATTAGATATCTAATACTCCCCAAACTCTAAACATCCTGCTCTAATACTATGTTACGGATGAATAAACCATCGCTCTATAAATTTACACGGCAAATCAATGTCAAATGAGCAACATGAAAAAAAAAACAAGAGCAGTAAACAAAGATTTTAGAGATAAATCTATTTTTATTCAAGCTGTGATTGTGTACATATTTGCTGCTCTTTAGTAAAGATCGAGGGAAAGAATGGTAAAAGGAAATAAATATTGATAGCAATCATAAGATATGATTGCTCCCCAATTTATGGAACGATAATAAGGCATAAATGCTATATCCAAATGTTGACTTTCCAAAGATTGAGAATGATGTTTGCTTCATGGTATGAATTGAATATTATGCTTGCTGTCATGGTGTGCTGTAATATTGTGTAATGTGTTTGGCCACCAATAGTGCTTGTTTGTTGCCTAATACAACAAACATACATCAACTAAACCGTTACTAATCTCATATTTCTAGCCACCTTTGGAGCATTTGTATTAATTGGTAAATTACTTTTATTTATGGTATTTGTATCTTTCATAATTTAGGCTATTAAGGGATTATCACCGTTGTTTTATTTTACCTTTTTGAATCCTAAAATCAAGTTTCAATTACTGTCCATTACCTCCTAAAATTGACAGCCACCTCTACTGTCAAATTCTTTCCTTGATTGATAGTAGGCATAGGTGATATATTTGGTGTATAAGATTCCCAGAGTCTTCTTTTAAAGGTAATGAATGAGAATTATTTCCATTGAATTAAGGTTGAATTAGTTTTACGCTCAACCCAAAAGATCTTTAAAATGGTGTCAGAGCTCAAAAAGCTCAAACGAGCATCCAATTAAAAAAAATGGGATCTAGACAATATCGATGAGTTAAAACAGCCACGATCATGAGGGAGCATATTAAGGATCCCACATTGAAAACATAAAAGATCTAACAAAGGTTTATAATATAAGTGTGTTACTCATCTTATCACCAATTGATTTTGAGATGAAACTCTATGAATATTAATAAAAATGTCAGATCGTGAGGGGAAATGTGACGGCCTCAAATATCGTTCATAATCAATGCAAAGGGTACTGAAGATTTGGAATTTCGTTAATTATGTTCATGTCTTTTCCATAATGTATTTCTATATCATGAGAGTGAAACCAATAACTCTCGTGCGGATTAGAATTTTTTTTTTGTAAGTTTTGAAGCAATTCCAAATCTAAATGCGAAACACAAAATAATCCTTTTAAATGGGTTGGCAATTTTAAATGAACTGACATTTTTGCTAGTTTTATATTATTTTTAGAATAATTGCTTCTTCCCTCCTTTTTTCCTCTCTTCATCCACGACCTTTTTTATTCCTCTCTTCATCCACGACCTTTTTTAACTTAGGATCTTCTTAGTGTATCTTGAATAGTTTGTAATCTAGATATTGTCAACAACTAAATCACAAAAAAAAAATATATATTTAGTATAACATGTGGGGTTGGGGGATCAAATTTACAATCTCTTGATTGGAGATATATGTCAATTATCGTTGAACTATACTCGCTTTGACATTGAATCGCAAAAGTTTTTTTAACTCCCAATTTCGTTATTGAAGATATACGACAATTATCATTAAGCTAGACTCACTTTCGCACTGAGTCACAAGCTTGAGGAGAAGTACTATATGTCATATTTTTCAGGGAATGACTACTATATCCATTAACTCCTTTCATTGAAGTAATTGGCAGTGTTAAATAAAAGGATCCGTAGAAGAAATATTCTCAAAGATTCATTAAGATTAAAACATGTAGATTCATTTAGAGGATGAGCTAAGACTTTATTCCGGATCGAAATAAGGGTTGGGACACAGATAGAATTAACTTTAAATCACGAGGAGAATGATTATGAACAAAGGAAGAACATCAAAGTATGCATAGATTTCGGATTAGGAGATGTTCTAGGAGATTCAAATTTAAGAACACTGCTAGGCATTCAGTTGATAAGAAATGTTGTTGAGAATAGGTTCTCCCCAAAAATAACTGAAAACGTGCACCTTAAGATGTCTAAAGAAAAATCAAGTGGATCATACCGGAGTTATTCACCCCAAAAAATCCAAGAAAAAAAAAAGTCCCCAATAACCTCTCCAAAAGTTCGAGATTCTAATTCTCAAACTCATCCCTATTGTACTAAAAAAAAGGAAAAAAATATTGTAAATTTTTAAAAGCTCCAATGGTCTCAAACTTCATAGGCTTTTATTTAGTCCTTGTTAATTTAAAAGCTTGGCATGACTTTTTGAAATTAAAAACATATTTTAAATTTTGTAATGTTGTTTGGTCACCATGCAAAGTACTACCAAGAAAATACTCCACTTCAAACCACTGCTACTAAAGATCACCTCAAATTCACTCTTATTTTGTTGTAAATTAAGGATGTACAAGAAATGTGTGATGCACAAATAATGGAGAAGCACATAATGAAGGTTTATCAACAAATGAGAGAGAGTGAAGCAGCTGCTGATACAATATGAGAATGAGTTGAAGCATATGTATGAAATGGAAAGAGAAGGCATGTTCTCTATATTTAGTAAAATGTTAGTTGGTACAATACACGAGTGAGTGAGGACAAGTACATTTCTTATATCTATGATGTGTATCAGTTTCAGGACTCGATGGGGAAAAGGAGAAAAAGAGAGAACTGTAAATCATGTACAAATATATAAGAACAGTTATCAGGTGTGTGCGGGGTGTGAAATTCTTTGTTATGGCTCTATACAAAGAAAGTCTCTTTTTGTGGTGTATAATAATTTCTTCCCTATGATGAGAAACATCTTCCATGCAAGCACGGAGCAAGAGAAGATAAGAGGGAACCTGAATTGAGAATTCTCGAATCGACAGGCAAAACTTCGATCTGGTGACAATGACACTCAACTTCCATACAAATTTGGTTTTCGATTTCTCGGCCAACATGAATTTGCTCCCTGCAATTTGTAACAAGCAACTCCATTAGCAAAATCCTGTTTGGTAATAGTGAACAGACTTCCCCGGAATGGAAAAACAAGAACATGCATACTTTCCTAGCATATATACATATATGTATTACAATTTTACAACCACAAAATGTTAATAAGTATTTTGGAGACGTACAACTAAGTTGCTTTCCTTTATACTTTCCATAGACTCAGCAAGCTCCACTTGTTTTGATGCAGTTGCAAGTAGTGCCTAAGATCAAAGCAAGGAAATAATTAAATTTAGTTTGAAACACAATCCACCTTCTTCAGTGTTCACTGTTATTTTGAAAGAAGATTTTCTTACTCTCTTTGTCTTCTGTAAGTCATATTCTATGGACTTTATACGATTCAAAGATTCATGAAGCATGTTCTCTTTCTCTAAAGGGATTTTTGAAGGTTTTTTCGTAAGTTCCGTCACCATGACTTCCAAGTTTTGCAGCCTTTTCCAGAGTGGATCCACTTTCAATGTCGTAGATTGTTCTCGAGACTCCAAATCTTCCAACTGATTGTTGCAAGGGCCTTCAGGTTGTTGATTCTCAGCATGTCTCATCATGAAAATTCTCCGCAATCCTGGGACTAGTAGATATATACAAGCAAAAATGTTGAATACAAAATGAACAAATGTACTCGTAACACGGGGAACGAATCTCTTCAGTTGCCTTCTTGGTCGAACATCAGCATTTAGATTATCTGTCACATTAAAAAAACAAGCTAGTTACCACTCTTGATGCCAGTGTCACATTCTAGTCTTTATGTTTAAACTAATTTATCAGCTTTCTGAAATAAATATTTCCCCAGTCAACTTTATGACAGGATGATATAGAAAGAGATAGCAGTATCACTAATTTATGTTGAACCAGTAAGAAATTGATTATCTCCTTGACAGAAAATGGAAAAATTTTAGCCCTGCAGTGTATGAAAAGACACATGGATCATTTTCTTTATAAATCAGTAGGTAGGTACTGGAAAAAGGAAGATAAATCCAATAATTCATATTCAATTCATGAATAAGCATGGAAATCGTGCAACCATTGTGATAAGGATTTCAAGTAGTCTGGGAAATGCCCATGAGTTCTAGCCGTCTTAATTGACCATATAAGCTAACTACAAATTCAACTAACACATCCCCAAAATATAGTCTCTAGCTTTGATCTTGAAAACACCATCTTTTCACTTCTACACGATCCTTTTGCTGCTTTGTATCTTTAGGCTCAGTCCATGCCACCAAATAGATTTTTCACAAACAATGATGCAAGAAACCGAGCAAAAATTGTTCAACAACACGATGATTGGGACAGTTGGGTTTTTTCATCATAGCACCAAGGGTTTGAATATTAACAAGTAGAAAGACAGCTAATTGCATGCAACGTAGAAACAGTTTGCAAAGTTTTATTCTGCAGCTAAGGAAAATGATAATAGTTGAATCTTGACCTACTTGAAGTATATTCTTCAATTATTCCAGCAGTATCTGTAGGTTCAATGATGCTGCTGATGGGACTTGGTGTGGAACATTTTTCCTGACAGGAATGTAAAATAAATAATTAATTATAAAAATGAATTGATATATAAATAAGAATATAGAAACTATTCCTCGATAATATGATCTGCTAATGAGATCAAAGCTGCTAAAAGAGCATGCACCTTACCAACTAATTGGACAATTTTCAGCACCTTTTCCCTTTATACTCCTGAAATGCAATGATATTTTTTACATGATTTATGAAAGACCTAAAATAGAAGCATTTCTTTTGCAAGGGGACACACTGATTTCTAATTGATATATATGCAAAACAATCAAACAGCTTTTCAGAACATATATATTGGACAATTACAGTCAATCTTAAACAGCATCCTCCTGTTACAACAGCTGAAGGAACCAACTCCAGCTTTGTAATTGAAATGTTCTGAACCCTCAGAATAGACTGAAACAAAAAGTCCATGTTTACAGAGTACTGAAAATAACCTAATTCCCATCATTCTTACCCTGTCAGCCATTGAAACAAAATTCTCGATGCCAGAAGCACTGGCAGTTGCTTCAGACCCTGATTCAGGTGAAGATATTCCATTACCCACGATCTGCTAGTAGGAAAAAAAATAGCATCACAAATAGCAGGCAACCAGAAAATAATGAAAGCATATATGATACAAAACAACAAGGTCACCTTCGAGTCAAAAAAGTTGACTTCAAAACTGCTCCCATTGTAGATATTTTTACCTTTACTTGAATGAATAGCTTCTTCGGCATAAACAATCTGCTAAGTAAAATAAGATGTAATGTAACTTCATGCTTCATGTGATGCAGTTAACAATATTGTAGATAACGAAGATTCTGATGAATGTTAAGAATTTTAGAAATTGATAATTACAAAGTATAATAAGCATTGTAAATTGACTAGGATCAGACTTTCATGATTTCAGGATCATTCCAGGGCCCCTTGTCAGATCTAAGGCATCCACCTTCATTTGAACATGAACAATCTCCTCCAAGGAAGTCAGGAAGTTGTCTGTTTAAGGAGAAAAAAAATTTCAATTTCATAAAATGAAAAAATCAACACAACGTTTAAAGAAAAATGTGAGACACAAAAGTATATTGGAAAGGATTACAGACCTTGAGTCTATGACCTCCAACAACTTATTTTGGAATTTGTTGCCCAAGACCTACAGAACCAGCAAAGAATCAACTTTAGTGATTCATGCATTATTCAAAGCTCAGAAGAAATAAAATTCACTAAAAGAGAACTTGTACGTGTATCTTTGCTGTAGTCCTTGGATCAAGAAAGGTTCTTGCGGTGTTCCATAGAAATTTGAACCCACTGCCGGCATTTACTATATACATCTGATTTAGCGTCTGCAGAGTAGCAAATATGAAAAAATTATAGATGCTCCTGGAGTAAGTAAACTAATTTGGTATAAAATATAGTTCAGGTAACCTCAGGATAATTGTCCCCATCAATTTTCTGCATGCGCATAACAAGCTCATGTGCCATCTTGCCAAAGCTCACCAAGTTCTGCACAATTATAAGAAGCAATATAATTATCAGCATATTATACAGTGCAAAACAACCATAACACTCAGGTATTCTAAGAAATTACCAGTCCCTGCACATCTAGTATCGTTGTTGTACAATATATGTGTCTTTTCGCTGCAACGGAACATGCTGGGAATTTCTCAGTGAAAAGCTTCTCAAACCCCTGAACATGATATTTTAAAAATCGATCTATTGTGGTGACGTTCATTAGCTTGCCAGGTTCAACTTTTCCAAGTCTTTCAATATAAACAGGTCTTCCTCCTTTATCTACACCATGGTAACCATGAGGATAAAAACGTTGAACTTCTTCATACTCATCATACATGAAATCCTACAAAGATATGATTTAGGTACAACATCTGTCAAGTAATGAAAGGTGAAGAAGCAGAAATTTCTCATAATACACAGGGAGAAGAGAGAAGGACATAAGAATTGCTGCTTGGTAACTTACGGCTTTTGATTAATACCACTTGGTGGGTTTTTTTAACCTCCCTTGTTTTTTTAGATGGGCCTTCGTACTTATCTTTTTGGTAATGGAAACTTGTTTCTTATATTAAAAAAATAAATTAAAAAAAAAAGAACCCAAGACCTCACTGCTTTCTTGCACAATGAGGGTACTGGTTTCAGCTTTCATGTGTTATAATAAAAGTTCTATATTTGAGACAGAGGGGGCAAAAGGGGGAAAAAAAAAAGGAAGATAGCATGCCACATTACCTGCATAATAGTATCTACGTTATTATCTTTTCTCCAGTTGAGCATCTCTATCCACATGTGAAGAGTTTTATCAATGTCGAACTTCCTAGCCTTGAGGAATCTGAAACAAAATAACAAATTTTCTGCAGAGAAGTAGCAGGCAAAAAATGAACAGAAAAACCATAAAAACAACAACAACAAAAATATAAAATATAAAAAAATAAATAAGACGAAAAAGGAAAGTGAAGCATTGAACTGAAGCAAAGTTCCCGGTCTCCATCTCCTCGCACCATAGTTCTATGGTGAAAAATTTATTGCTTTTCCTAGGCTAAATCTAATGGCACACTGCAGCAATAAGGGAAGGAAAATGGACCACAAGAGTCACAGGCCCAGTCCCTAGGCCTAGCTTACCAAACATCTACCTTTCTTGTAAGAGAAAGATGGGAGAATAATCTCAACCAACACATCCTGATAGTTCTGGTTGCAAGAGAAACTGACACCAGAAGTCCTAAACGGATCTACACCACATATCATGAGAAAAAAGAAAACGCAGGAAAAAATTGTCCTAAACCTCAGAGGCCTGGGGAGAGAAGGCAAAAGGAAAGAAAACTCTTCTGAACGACACAATTATTAATTTTTACCAAGAGCCATTAACCAAGCGAAAAATCCAATTCTCTTGGAGCAAGAACTTCCAAGATTTTCCTCAAGCAAGAAGTAAAAATGGAACTCAAAGACACCTTGAGTATGAAGAGACACGTAGAAAAGAGTAGAAAATTCTAGTCTCCAGTGCTCAAGTCACAAACACAATGATAAATAACTAGATAGACCATGAGTAAGGTTGAGAAGATACAAGCAGCTCCTGAAAGGAACAAGAACGAGATAATCTAACTTCTACTAAAATAGATGAACATTTCCTATCCAAAAAAAAAAAAGAAGATAAATATAAATACAGGCTACCAAGCTCTTCAAGAGGCCTGGTATACTTCTAAAAGCTATACTCCAAAGGTATATCCTGGAAACACTGATGGCCAGGCCGATCTTGAATTCCACCCATCAGTACGAAGCCAATGGATACTTATGGTAACCTAATGCGATAAAGCATTACACTCCAAAAGAAATCTCCACAACCATTTGCCCAAGGAAAGCACATCTTGCTGATCAGGTTACCAATACCCAACCCCCATAAAATATAGGCTTGGACACAACTCCAACTTAACCAAGTGGGAGCCACCCTCTCCTCTAAAAGTCTCTCACTAGCCTGTCTAGAAACCTAGGAACGAGGGTAGAAAGTTTCGCTTGTGTTATTAAAAATTGTGATGTTTCTTGAATGAATTATAGATTGGTTATTTAGCAAGATGGCTATCAGGATTCCCCGCGGCAAGGAAGAAAGAAAAAATGTACTCAAAATGTGGAGAAGACGTCTACTTCTATCTAAAAATTTCCAGCAATACTTCCGTCAGTGCATCACTAGACTGGAAGCTTATTCAGATTATTCAGATCCATAGCAATCAAACTATAGAAATACAAACACTCAACCAACTCCGCACCGCATACATCTCGCTAACCTCATAAAAGAGTTTGATTTAAAATACTTGCAGAGGAGCTCAGAAAAAAATCAAGCTACCATAGAACAAATTGAGCTACCTCAGCATAGTGTGGTAATCATCATGACGGAGTGGCAGCAGATCTCTCGCGACCAAAACCTCGCGGAACTTATTGACCGAATCTTCCTCCCCCGCGTCCCGGACCTCATCAACCGAAATCGGAGCAAAACGGCAATCCGCGACCCTCCTGCCATGCTTTCTTAGCGTGCTGCTAAATCTAGCAGAAGCGCTCATCGCTCTCTTCCTGAGAGATTTAGAGCGTGTCCGCCGCCTCTCGTCTTCAGAGGATTCAGGCTCAAAAACCCTCACCCTCGCATCCTCTTCAGCTGCAACAAATTCTCCTGAAACAGAAGTAGGCAGGCCATATACAAAAACGAGACGATCGGGTATCAGATGCAGGAAGAAATCAAAGGTAGATCAATCAAATTCAATGGATCGGATCAAAAAGTGTACCCGGCATTTTGTTGAATCAAAGCGTGTCGGAAACAAAAGCCGCACAGATTCCACACAGCATCAAACAAGAGACGGATTGGATTACACACCAAAAAAGTCGTTGAACCCGCACAATCAGTAGGAGATCATGCAGAGGCCTCTGGGTTTGTCTAGATTTTTTCAATTTCTTAGGAGAGAGAGAGAGAATGGAAAGTAAAAGGACGAAGCGAAGAGTACGATGGGCGCCGTCCTTTGAGCTTCAACTTCTACGATGCTTCTGTTCTGATTCTGAAAACACCGTATTTTACTTCTGCAGCTTCTGTTTCTCAGGACAACAGTCAAACACTAGTTGATTTTGACATGTTAGAATTACTTACTACTTTTTATTTGTTACAAAATCACTCTCATTTTAAAATACAACGTTAGAAAATAATTTTAAGTGATTCTTCGAGAATCACTTAGACTCTGTTTGTTATGTGATTATGTTTCTTGTTTTCAAATTGATTGAACCAAATGGATTCAGTGAATATGTTATGTTTCTTGTATTTTCAAATTTGAGTTTGAAACTTTATAATTAAAAATTTTGACAAAGAATGTAATGGTCCCTACAACCACCCAGCACGACCCTCTTCATAATCATTCATTACTATACTAATCAAGGTACACATAACTCTGCCAAGCAAGTATTCCCACACGAACATTTACGTAAATTCGGCACACACCCTCAAGTAAGGCTCTCACTGAGATTCTTGCCATTACTATACTTGCTCCATACTCGTTCACTCTCATCTTAAGTTCTAATTTAGGTATCGGAGTACACATTTAGTAGAGCACCACATCAATGTCAGATTTCTACGTGCAGGTGAACTCTAAATTAGGAGACGATGACGTTCGTGGAACTACGTGACACCGACCTGAATTTTGGCATAAAAAATATAAACTTATTAATGTGAGCGACAAAATTGTTTTATACTTTGAAGAAGTTTCGTGGATAAGTTGATAGAAAAGGAACCAATTGATAAGAGAAGTACTAAGTATGGATTTTAAAAATTTATTTGAACAAAAATCATTAATCAAAATATAGCTTATGAATATGTTAGAATTGTTACAAAACAAGCTGAGTGTTAAAAAAAAGAAAAAAAAAATAGAAAATGAAGAATAAAACTAACAGAAATATTTTAAAATTTTAATCGCTTCATTAGAACACCCAGTGGGCGTGCCGGAGTGGTTATCGGGCATGACTAGAAATCATGTGGGCTTTGCCCGCGCAGGTTCGAATCCTGCCGCTCACGCTTCTTTATATTCCTTTTCTTTCTTTTCCATTACTATTAATAATTCCTTTTTTTCTTTTCCATTACTATTGATAATTCCTTGCTCACGCTTCTTTATATTCCTTTTTTTTTCTTTTCCATTACTATTAATAATTCCTTTTTTCCTTTTCCATTATATTGATAATTCCTTTTTTTTTCTTTTCCATTACTATTGATAATTCCTTTTTTTCTTTTCTATTACTATTAATAATTCTTTTTCTCTCTCTTTTCTATTACTACTAATAATTCTTTTTGTTTTTCCCTTTTCTGTTACTATTAATAATTCTTTTTGTTTTGTTTTCTATTACTATTAATAATTCATAGGAGAGGTTGACTTGTTGAAAATAAATTAAATATATAATTTATAGCTCCTTGAGTTTTTTATTACTTTTTTTTTCTTTTTCAATTTTATCTTTAATCTTTCACAAATTTGAACTTCATTATTTGTGTATTGAATTTTATTCTTTAATGAAGTCTTTACCATCTCTCTTTTTCCCCCTTTTTTACTACTATTAATAATTCATAGAAGATGATGACTTTTAGAAAATAAATTAAATTGAGTTGTTGTTGTTGCTTTCTTTTTCATTTTTATATTTAATAATTACAAATTTGAACTTCATTTTTTTTCTTTTCCTTTCTATTACTATTAATAATTCATAGAAGATGAGGAATTTTAGAAAATAAATTAAATATATAATTTATATAACCCCTCGAGTTTTTCATTTTTATTTTTATTCTCCATTTTTATATTTAATCTTTTACAAATTTGAACTTCATTATTATTTATGTATTAAACTTTATTCTTCAATGAAAGTCTTTACCATCTCTATTCCATTAATAATTCATAGAAGATGATGATTTTTAGAAAATAAACTAGACATAGAATTTATATTGCCCCTTGAGTTTTTATATATATATATATATACACAATTTTATCCTTAATCTTTTACAATTTTGAATTTTATTATTTATGTATTGAATTTTATTATTCAATGAAGTCTTTAATATCATTACAAAAATTGGAAAAAGGTGATATAGGGATTTAAAAGGGATAGTTTTTATGATGTTCTATTATTGGTAACACATAGATTTAGAGACCAAAAATATATTTTGCGCTTTATTTTATCATTGAATTATATTCGAAACCTTTCTTTTTTATCAACTTTTAGTTTCGGTATTATTTATTATCTCTTGGAAATAATAA